AGGGGTTTAGGGTTTAGGGCAGAACAACAGAATATAGAACGGAATAGTATGGAATCGTGTGGAATAGTACAGAAGAAGCACAGTACGGTGCAGCACAGCACGGTACCGTGCGGTACAGGTTGGAGTCCTTTATCCAGGCTCTCTTGTTTGCTCCGGTTTGCTTTGTTTCGTGCAGTCGGAGTCTTGTGCCCTGGGTTTGCTTTGGATTGATCTGTCTCCGACGGGCGAAGCTGTGTACTGCGCTCTTGTTTACTCCGGCCTGCGTTGTTTTATGCAGTCGGACTCTTGTGTCCCGGGTTTGTGGTTCAGGTTCGCTTTGCCTTGTACGGTCGGAGTCTTGTCTTCTAGGTTTGGAGTAACTATTACTAACTGTTTGCTGAACTCGAATTTGTTATCCGGCCCCTCTTCAATCCTGAAGCTATCTTCGCCTTTGCTTAGGTGGACAGAGGATTTAGAGTTCGCCAAGGCAGTGTAACATGCTTCAGCATGCTATAGTTTGCAATAGGCAATAGTCTACTGGGAGGTTCATGGGTAGTNNTAGTTATAAGTGGGGTTAGAAGTAGGCTTCTACCTAACCATGAACCTCGACAAATGGGAAAAGTTTGGCAGAAGTGTTGCGGTCCAAGTTCGCCGACAACAGAGGTGGGTTACATTTATTAGTGTGTGTGTGTGTGTCGTATCCCGCAGCGCAATAGTCCCAAGCCGTTCTGGTATAACAGACTACGACGACCTTTTCAAGATTATCCAGTCCATTTGTATAAAATTCCTGAAGACGGCGTGCCAGGCAAATTATCGCCACTGTGCTCTTCGTGATCTCCCGTGGTTGGCTCCTGGTCGCAGCCTCGAGCTTCAGGGATCGAAGGGGAAGGGCCAGTGTGTGTGTGTGTATATATATATATATAATAATATATAAACGCGTTTGGCTTCTTTTTGGGTGGGGTGGGCATGAGTGTGAGAGGTTATGGGGACTAGTATTGGGGGCCAATTTGAGTGTTGTGGGGGCCTTGGGGTCACTGCTGCTCAGCGAAACCGGGAAAGTAGGACCACCTGCATTTGCCTTATGTGCCGGATAGTCCGACAGAGCACAAGTGCACAAGAGAGTTCTCACAAAACTATTCCCCTGCACAGACCTAAACAAGAGCATTAGGCGAAACCGATAACAGCTTGTTTTTGAGAAGTTATACGGTTGATGGACAAAATCCTGCATGACCTTATATACCTAAACTATGGGATTTATGGTACTATACTATATTTGGGTCATGCAGAATTTTGTGCATCAACAGTAGTTCCAGAATGTCAGATGCCAGCTTGCTGCACAGGTTAGCACGAGTGCTTAGGGCTTGGGGCCTAGGTTACTTGGAGGATCATGGGACTTAGTAGGGTTATAAGTCCCTTAATTAGGGTTATAAATAAATATAAGTATGGTTGCCTTAATTATAACCCTACTTACTAAGTCCCATGATCCTTTAAGTAATCCCACACAATCATCTCACATTTCTCCTCCCACTCACTTCGTCTCACCCAGCCTCCTCCCACTCAGCCTCGTCTCACTCACTTCGGCTTATACATCCTCATCTCGACGTTGTATTTTCCAGTTTTTCGTTTTGGCTTGGGGGCGCAAAATACTCCTATATCATAGGAATGGGAGATACTAAACATGTGGGGTTATCAGATCCTTTGAATTTGTTCCGGCATTTGATCGGAGCAGGCGGGGTTTGGCTCAAGACAGCCTTAGCCTGCAAGTTGCTAGATCATTCCTGCTTTGTGTGCCATGGTACAGAAGAGATCTTGGCATGGCTGCATGCCCCGTCTTGTTCTACTCTTACTTTGTTTGCGCTTTCTTCAGGAGGGGTCGACGAGAGGCATTGTGCAAAATCCCAATCCAGGCTTTGTGCACGGCCTTTGCCGGCCACCAACAGCGTTTCCGAGACCGACAGCACTCCCGGCAACAGCCGAAATGGCGGGAGAGCATGTTAATCGCATATGGTGGGTGAAAATGAATGAGTACCAGCAACAAGTCTGGGCTTTGTCCAACGCGCTCGCGGGATTGCTGAGAGACACCGAAGCTTCCAAGTTTCCCCCGACCTTGCGTCAGAAGACGCGAGAGCTGCAACAGAGCTGCGACAGGCTTCAGCACTACATTGCTACGTCTACCTCCCGCATTCGGAAGGACGTTTCAGAGTGCATTGAAGATCTTGAGGCCATCCAACCATCCACTCAGAACTCTGCCAGACTGCGCAGGAAGTTGAGCAATGTGGAAGAATACCTGACGGATATCAGTGAGACATTTCAAAGCCAGGAGTCACGGGCTCAGGATTTGGAGTTTGAGATTCGATGCCTTGAAGATGACTTTTTCCGTTTGCAGAAGGAGACAGAGCAGACAACCACAGGCTATGAGTTTGGAGTGAAAGTCTTTGCGGTGTGTGCCGTGGTCGCCTTTGCCGCTGTTGCCATTCCTGCCATAGCAACAGCCGGTGGAGCAGCAGCAGCTGGGACTGCTGCGGCTGAGGGGGCTGCTTTGACAGTGGGAGGCGCAACTGTTGCTGAAGGGGCTGCTGTAGCAGCAGGAACTGCAGCGGTAGCCGAAGGGGCTGCTGTAGCAGCAGGCACTGCTGCAGCAGTTGAAGGAGCAGCAGCTGCCGGTATCAGTGCTGAAGCTGTGGCTGTTCTTTCAGGGGGTGCAGCACTTGCGCTCAAAGGTGGCGCAGATGGCTGCCGTCAACTCGCGGAGTTTCTGGATCGTCAGCAACATTCCGTTTCAGAACATCGGGGGTTTGTGAAGCAGCTTGAGACTGAAATTGATGTGATGAAAGATGATATTTCCAATCTTGAGAAGCGCTTAAATAGAGCAAGTGATGCTATTGAAGATGATGATCTCGAGGATGCTGCTCGTATTTGTGGCCGTTTGGCTGGGCGGCTGAGTGAACTGGTGTAATTGTGCTTTTCAGGGCACCGCTTTTTCGTCATGCCTCAAGAGCTATGGCAACTATGGGTATCTGGATGATCCATGCATCATTATCCTAGACAGGTTTGTTTAACATCCGGTTGAGTCTAAAGGTTTTGACCTTTTAGGTCATTTACTGAGGGTTTCGGGTTTAGTGTTTAGGGAGAATGTGTACATCTTCCACAACTTCCGTGTCACCTGTGTCACCAGGTTTGATTTCCGACCTCGTCAGGCCAAGGTCAGAAAACCCTTTCTGCTTGAGATGCTGCCTCGACTTGGGTACGACCCACGACTCATGGGTTCCTAGGCAAGGCACGCTCATAGAGGAAGATTGTGATCTCCAATCTATTTCACCATCGCCAGCACGGGAGTTCAGCTTTACAGCATCATGCATGATCTCTTGTAGCTACGCAGGCCGTGGCCGCATCATCTTGCATCCTCGGGTAGAGTCATCAGGGTTTAGGATCTAGGGTTTGGGGTTTAGGGTTTACGGTACGCAAGCATTGAAAATTCAAGAATGCCACCATCATGGGGGATAGGGATCAATAAAAAAATAA